CGTCTAATGTGATCAATTACTGGAACAGTTACGGATAGCTATTAAGCCGTTGTGACATTGACAGTGAAATTATGTCTGCCGTCTCAAGTTTTATTACAGGAAACAAATATTTCTGAGGAAATGGCCTGAAGGGGTATTTGTTATCTTATTGGCAGATTGCAGGGAGCGAGGTTGACCACACTTTCACCAATCTGACATTACACGAAGGGAGTCGTTACATCGTAACCGTAGTGGCTTGCAACCTCGCTGGTCTCTGTACGGAATCCAAGGCAGAACCTGTGTTGGTAAATGGCATACCCACTTCCGCTCTCTGATCACCATATCTACAAAAATGGCCTTGCATGAAAGCTCCTATTACTTCTACCGTAGAGTGTTGTTTTAAATCCAAAGGATTGCTGTAATGAGGAGTGGATTGTTATAAGCAACATGATGGTCGTACGTAGATACCCAATCTTTAATAAATTTGAAAGCACTACTCACTTTTAGCCAAGACCAATTGTCACGACATTTATATGTGTATCACAGGGACATTTTCAGATCAAATTGATGTTTAAAAGGACAGTAGAAATTGGGTGATGAAAAATGCTGCTATCCCAGCCAAGAGCATCGTTTCCAGGATTCAGAAAAATGTTTCAGTTTTTAAGTAAACATGCGCTGACACATTGTTTTAAGACCATACAGATCGAGGGATGTAGCACTTGCAGTCGTTACTCACCAGTACTCCCACTAGCACACTTTATTTCGTCAAACAGGATAAGGCTATGTGTTTCACCATTCAATAAGTCACATTTTTGTGTAGGTTGATTTCAGCCTGCCGTCTGTTGGGTCGTTTGCCGTGGGCACAGAGAGTGCTGCCAACTTGGAGCGTCGCCATATCGACTGGATTGGTCCAACTGAACCAGACCAAACCAATTCCCAACGCCACCTCCGCGACTGGATGACGTGGATAAAAGACACCAGCAACACCACTGGTTCCTTAGCCCTTGCCTGGTTGGGATTTGCTGATGTGCACTCTGGTATCAGCCACTACTTTGTGTCTGTCGGACGCACCTACGGTGGCTTGCAACTCACTCCGGTATCTTCTTTGAAACACTAAGAGCAGATTGTGGATTTTTTAGCAAATTTAAATTTAGAGAACTATAGTACTGCGCTTTGTAATTAAATGGGCTGCTGAAAATCTGTTGGGCTGTTTTTATGATAGTGTTTAATGCTCCCATTTTCAGATTTTCAAATTTGTAAATGTCTTGGGCAGAATGCTCAGATGCTAGCGTACTCTGTCTCCTTTTAACAGTATGGTATTGCTTTATTTCTATTTGTTACATTGGTTTTCGAGGCTGTCGTACTTTCCATAACCTTTTAGATCAACCCCCCTTATGCTATGAGCAGAATGATTGTCGTTTTTTTCTCCAAGAATGGACCAGTTCGAATCAATCAGAGTGATGACGGCATGCCATTGGACGAGGGCATTTTGCAGACAGCCGTTGTACATCTGGACGGCAGTATAGCAGATCTTTCTCCTCCGTATCTCTACATCTCCATCTGGGCTGTAAATGGGGTAAATTACTATGATTATGTCAATTAGTCTTATTCTGTTACAGAAAAATAAAAGAAAGCTTATCTGTATTCGCAGCATAGCTTTCAGTCAAACTTTAAATGTTGCAATTCACTTTATATTTAGTCATTTTCAACAAACTCTCTCAAGACTTTTACATTTTACTGCAGTGGGCAAAAATGTACATTTTAATCCGGAGATACCAAATCTGGTAATTTTTCTATTGGCCCTTTAGAACCACATAAGTGTAATGAAAGTGAAATTTTCTGTAACGTTTGATAATTATTTTTCAATTGTTTCTAGAGTTTTTCAAAGCTTATATTTTTCAAAGATTATATTAGAATGCTATTGGCATACCATGTGGTTGCTTTAACAATTGAATTGAAATTAAAACGTTTAATTGTGAAATGATAAGTTGGTCATTGTTGGAAATAATTGGTTTTCCCAAGGTTGGGCTACCGAGTTCTCGTCACCATTCAGTCTTTGAAATATCTGCCATCTCAGCAGACGAAGGCACTCTTGTTCTACTCCGACATTGTTCACCTTCAACTTGCGAAGGTCATTGCGCATGTGCACCCATTGATAGAGCATGTAACCCAGACCGGTCTTGCACTGATGTATCAGACAGTAAGTAGGTCTCTTATACTCATCCTTTTAGTGAAATTCAATTAGTAGTGAAAAGCAGGAAAATAAAACGATACAATGGATTCAGTGTACCGTAAGTTATAGGATTTCATTAAATTAAAGAAACCCCAAATAATGCTCAATGTTTGAGAGGGATGTAAAGTTCGAGCAACTCAAAATATGTTTAATACTCTCAATCAATGATTCAGAAACTATATACAGAATTGACTAAGTGCCAAAGATATCTCAAATAAATGTCGAGTTCAACAATCTACATGGAAACTATATCAGGGTCAGTTTGCAGCATTACCTTGTAGATGTTCGGAGTTAATGTTAATCATCCCTGCCACTTCATTTTGCGACAAATATTTATGAAGTTACAGAGAATGATGGCAAAAATAGTACCAAATCGCTCACGGCAAAGTGACCACTGGTCAATTAAGAAAGCCTGTTTGTAATTCAAATTGAGACATGCAGCTCTTAGTTATTTGAGGACCGTGACACTTAGAAATGTTGAAACGTTAATAGGTACCACGTCTGTCGCAATGCTTTCAGATAATCCCCACACTGAGATAGAAGTTCTGGATGTACTGGATCTCATGTACGATAATATCGAGGCGGTGACTGACATAGACTATACCCCTACTCAGCACACAGCGGCTGCAGTGTGGCGAATCACTGATCGTAAAGGACTGGATATCAAGTGGTAAGTTGAAATACACACAAATTATAAAAATTATATTACACTTTGTTGGGTCCACTGTTCTGTCAGTATAGCTGCTCACATTTACAAGGCAGATTAGCGCGTTTTCCATTCCATTTATATGCAACCATTTTAACATTTATGTAACAGGTTTTGCCCTTACCCCATGTATATTAATAAACACTGCATGCTCAGTGCTTTTCCGAGAGCTTACTAGTGCAGATGTCTTAACCACTCGACCACCGAGCTTGCCGGGTTCGGCTGGCCGGTCTGAGTCAAGTGAAGCAGCGGGTATACCGCGAACTATTTTTCAAGATGTATTTTTGCGTTGGGGAGACGTTAATTTATGTAACGGGTTTTGCCCTTACCCAACGTATATTAATAAGCACTGTATGCTCAGTGCTTTTCCTAGACTTTGCGAAAAAACCTCTCAAGCTTACTCAGGTGGGACCCAAGTTCTTAACGTTATGCAAATTCAAATTTAATACACTTGGACTGTAATTTTGAAAGAGCGTACTTTTAAACTTACTCGTGGTATTTTCAAATCGCGTGATGTTAAACTTCATTCAAATTCTGTCTAAAAACGAATGACTTTAGAGGCGAATTCGGCACCCCCCGTTTAATTACCCATTATTCATTGGAATGAGAGCCACATGTTCCTAAGAAGTTTGGAAGGACTCCCCAACATCACATCCACTTTAGACTGCCGGCGTAGTGTCCATACTCGTATATACCGCAAGCTCAAACAACCATACTGCCTATATGCATTTTCTTATCCTCTATATTTGCAGGTGTGAATGGAGCATCGGGGATGACTCTTCATCTGAACCAGTCGGAGTCTTCGATCCAGTGAATGAGAGAGTATGGTTTGATGTTGGACAGGACGACAATGCAATCATTGTGCTGGATGAGGGTAGGCAGGCTTCAAGGAATCATATTTGAAGAGCTACATAGTAAAATATAATATTAGCATAAAATGATAGATGTGAAAGTAAAGGTGAGGTAATTTGGAATCTTTGTTTAAAGCTTGAAATGATTATGTTGTGGCATTCTCTACCGACGGTGCCTCAGGCTTGTCCTTGTCCAGGCTGATCCAATGAGCAACTGTAGGGGCGACCAGGGAACAGGTGCATTGTGAGGCAGTCTAGCTACCACCAAGTGCCAAAGTTGCTGTCACGCACCAAGGACCACCCCTAGTGGTTGGTGAAGGGGCTTTAGGAACAGGGGGTTGGGTGTTTTGGGGTAAATTGTCGGCACAAGAACAATAACAAATGCCCAGATTCTTAATGGGTTCACCTCTCATTCTAACAACACTTTTTTTGGAAAAATGTGAATCTTAAAAAGGTAAAATAGGTGAAACTGTTGCTGCTTCATGAAGCATAGAGATCAGGTAATGGCCAGGGTTTATGCACCAAACCATTATTGCGTACCACTTGGTATTTCTTTCGTGTCATTTTTCTGAAGATAAATTTATTTTAGGCCTATACTGATTTTTTGCAGGCCAGTCTACCTCCAAAACCCTAGATGTCGCAATATTTGAAGCCTTTTCGCTACTTCTTTCGATTAATTTGCTTTAAAAGCTCAGGAAATGAAGCATTTTCCAAGTTTTGCATGACAATCACACAAACACTGGCCATTAGCTGAGCATTGCATAAATCTGCAATCCACGCAAAAATTGCAAGAGGGCCATAATTGACAAAGTTTGACTGAATTGTTTATGAAGAGAGGAAGCAAAAATCATTTTGTCCGTTCTCCAGAAAATAACCACCACCGACCAATGAATGAATTTGGTTTCAAATCTGCTATTGCTTCAAACAAGAAAGCATTTCACCAAATACAGCTGACATCTACTAAAGAATGCGAAAAAAGAGGCTGCTTTTATTGTCGTGAAATTACTGCTAGTGATTACAAGATAACCTTGAGCCAAACATTTTGTGGGGCCCAGTCTAAGGATAGGACTTTCCAAGTTTAGCCTTCGTCAGATGAAAACTGGACGAAGCGGCTTTTGTAAATTTCAATAAAATGACCGTACTGACCACTATTGCCAAGTTTGATTGAAAATGGGTAGTGTTGACATTTATAGCAATTTCAAGCTCAGTAAAGCTTTGCACCGGCTAATAAAATTGATCGCTAGCGATAGTACTCCAAACTGTGGTAACGAACTCATTGCAATGCACGGTGTGATGGGGGAACGGCTCTGCTGGTGCTTTACCGAGGTCACATTGGCAGACTAGGTCTGGATGCAACTTAACTGGATGATGGTTGATGCCGATGTAATATTAACCTATACTGCCGAGGAGAGTCCAGTGTTTATTGCAGACAGCAAGCGAGTGGAAGAGGCTGAGCTGGCCGCGCGTGGGCTTTTTATACCCACGCACCAACTAGATAATAAGGCCGCTCACTAGCATTTCACTCTAAATTATCAAGAGGCGTCAGGCCGCAAAAAAAAAATCAACATTAATTAATTAATGGAATACTCATGGGTTAAACTGGGACAACAAGGGAAAGAGGGCACCCTAATCACCGGCATATTTTGGTCCAATATTTAAAGATATTTAAAGGCAGATATTTATCATTTAAAGCGCACCACAAATGTAAGTATGTTCCGAAACATTGAAGGCTTCCAGCACATTAAGGGATTAAGAGATATTCAAATTCAATAGAATCTTTTAGTTGACACGTTTCATTACCTTTATACTAGTGTCGTGATTTATTGTTATTTGTATCATTGTCATTATCTTGTTAATGATCATATTGTTCACCTTGTTTGTGACCTTCTTTGCTGTGTTCCTTGTTATTGTCATCATCATGTTGCCAAGTTTTTCAATTGGCGTGTTTATCACTGCAACTCAGGTGAAATCATATTAGATGTCTTTACTCTCGTCGTCATCTTTAACCTAAGTCCAAGGGTCTTTGTATGTTTTTAGTTATTGCCTTTTTCTTTACTTTAACTCATATAAAACATTGCGCACTTGGAATGGAATGCAGACAAACAGGTTACGCCTGCAGAATTCAAAATGACTTTGCCCGTTTGTAATTCAATTTATGTTTATCATTTTATTGGTTTCTTTTGCATTGTTCGGGTGCATTTCCTCGTCATTAGACCACAAGTTACTTCAGCAAGTCAAATATCACGTATTTGTACGAGCCTGGTATGATACCAGTGAATATGCTGTGTTCAAGTCAGATGGCATTATCCCCGACGTAACACCACCAAAAGTCTCAACAATCAGAAGCACGAAGGTGAGTTTTGTAAAGAGAAGCGAATGGTCATATAAAGTTGAGGTGTGTATATTTCTTATAACTTCAAATAATCATGTAAATTCAGAGCATTTTTGTTTCCAGATAAAGGACCTCGCTGCAGCTGATGCCAGGGCAGACACGGATTACTTGACAGATACTGTCCTCTTTGTTTCTTGGGAGGGAGTGTTTTTAGACCATGCAATGTCCCACTACCTCGTGTCACTCAGCACCCATCCAGGAGGTGAGTACACTTACTACACACTCAGACTAACCGGCAGGTGACTACACTTTAGGTGGCACACAGCAACCATCCAGGAGGTGAGTACATTCACTACCAGGTCACGCTCGGATTATCCTGCAGATTAGTACACTTGCCACCAGGTACCTCTCAAGGAGGTGCCTGAGTACACAAATCAGATGTCCAATCTGGTATGTGTCACTGCATTGTTATGCACAGCTTAGCCTTAGGCCTGGGAACTGACAAAGTCATCCATTGCAATAATATCATTTGGACCTTCTCAGGTGAAGATATCCGTCAATATGATCACAGCTTTCCAGCTGGTGCAACTTCCACTCAGTTCACAAGCCTCGACCTACAAAGTGGAGTGCGGTACTTCAGCAATGTCCTGGCATTCAACAAAGCTGGTCTGCAGACGCTCAGAAGCAGTGATGGCTTTGTAGTGGACACCAGGAGGCCAGATCCTGGCCTAGTTTTTGATGGAATAGGTAATCCATTGCCAACATAATGCAAACCATAAGTTACCTTTCTTCTTTTAGTTTTGAATAAATTTTGCTCTCTGCAGATGCATTTGCTTGCTGTAGTTGTATAACATAAACTGTTCTAGTGCTATTTGTCTTGATATGAAAGTCATACTTTCCTGAGAAAATACCTTCAAACTGTCCATGTGTTGTCCATTCTAGATCTCCATGATGTACAGTACCAAAACTCCAGCACAGTCATCTCAGCCTCCTGGCATGGCTTTGTGGATCTGGAATCCTACATAGACCATTATGAGTGGTGTGTTGGACAGATCCCAAGCCCTAGAAATGCTAGCATTCTGCCTTGCACCGATGTTGGAATCCACTTGTCTGCCTCCAAGACTCTAGCTGTACCTCTCACAGATGGTAATAATCAAAAGAATCTTGCCTTATTTAATCATAGTTTTCAAAAGTTCTGTCAGGAGAGGTTATGAGAATAACGAACAATTCTTTTATTTCAGAACTTGTCCTTGTGAGAATCGCTCCAACTTGAATCAAAAATAGATTTAATTCATGGCTTTGAATCGTTTTTGAATACAAAGGAAACAAATGTAGAGGCTATCCACCAAAATATACCCTCTGAAATACACCCAACCAGCCTACTATGTCAATTTCAAAAGCTCGCTTTCTTACTCATAGAGCATAGAAAAACCATCTGTGTCATTCAACATGAGAATGTTTAATAACTTGAATAACAAATATATGATACAATTTCTTTGCAGTACGCATTTTGAAAACAATGAATATTAGCTACTAGCTATTGCATTTCTTGTATTAGTGGGAGATTTCAATTGTCAAATTTCAATTTAAGATTGACAAAAAATTTGAAGCTTACAAATGGCCTACTAAATCATTTTGAAGAAAGGTGAAACGAATAATGTTTTTCAAAGTTTATCAGAAGTGATATTAAAAAATGAATAAAATAAACTATATGTAAAATAAGCTGCAGGCCTGTACTCTTGATGTGTATTTACCAGAATCTCCAGCAGCCCTTATGCCTGTGAAGATAGCAGAGGACTTTTAAATTACCGTTAATGAGCAATAAAGTTGATTCTTTTTGCCAGGTATTCGATATTTCTCCAGGATCTCAGCTTTTGATGCAGCTGGCCGGCAGTCTGTTTCAGTCTCTTCAGACGGATTTGTAGTGGACACTACTCCCCCTGAGCCAATAGAACATATCCTTGTAGGGGATAACCTGATTCAGAATCCATCATTTGAAGAGATGGGGGAGCTGCGTAGCACGGGTAAAGTGACATTAGGTTGATTAGATACTATTGGAGGATAGTTCACTATGCAAATGAAAGAGACCTAAGGCCAACATTGTCCCGGAAAATTAAAGAATTTTATTTTTTCACAACGTAAATGTTGAAGACATAAATGGTAGGCCTTTGGGAATGCTGAAATGAACGTGTAAAGCGTGTCTGTCATCCTTTTCAGATATGGGTTTTGAACGCACATTTAGTTCTGGAGACGGGTTATCAGGTGGAGCCTCAGGTGGAATTCAGTCATTGTACGAACCATCTGAAGCTTCATCATTGCAGTCATCGTCATCACCAGAATCGGATGGTCTCAAAGCCTGGAAAATTAAATCCGGCAGCCAGTTTTCAGTGGTCTCATCTGAAAAGAAGATTGCCAAAGACGGTCATTCTTTCTTGTCCCTCCGTGGTGCCATCTCCCAAACCTTCAACACAACGATGGGCAGCCAATACCAGATAGTGATCTTCGTCAGTCACATGCCATCTCAGAATCCTTCTCTGAATCAGGAAGGCTGCATCCAGGCCCCAGGATTGAACCGTATCTTTAGGTTGTATGACCGACCAGCACACCGTCACTCAGATCAGAGTATGAGATCTATCCAGTGGAATCGGCAAAGGTTTTACTTCACAGCCAGTGAAGATGTCTCAACATTAAAAATCTCCTCAGTTGGAAGATCAAATGGAATCCTGTTGGATAATGTTCAGGTGAGCAAATTAATCTTGTTTCAATTGATTTTGTTTAAATATGTGTAACGCACCCCTAGCTTTGACTGAACTGTTTTGAAAATGCATTTGGCAAATTATTTCATTGTGAAGTAATTATGATTCATACTTGCGCTCTCAACACAGAAACCATGCCAAAATGCAATTGGTATTTGCAATCATGTGGATCTTTTGAAACGGCCTTTTCCTTAATCCTTTAATGCATAAAAGTCAACCTGTTTAATATAAGGCTTAAGAAAGGTTTCTTCAACTGTTTCTTCTACTCAATTCGTTAACGGATAGAAGCCTACGTGATGTACTTAATTGAGGCTTAGCATTTGACGCATCAATTTGGTTGTATTACATAGCTGAGGCGAATCAGCATCAGACCGAGTAACAACGACGAACCTGTACAAGTCTATACCCAGTTCATTCACGGCTGGTCATCTCTTCAGTCTAAGTGGGATTTCATTGATCCGGAGAGCCCCATAGTGGACTATAGTTGGGCCATTGGTAGGTTACACTTAATCCTTTAGGGACCTTTGAAATTATGGAGAATATCTTTGGATTCAGCATGGATAGGATTAATTGCTTCGTGCATCCCAATTGCATTCAGTATAAACAAGTTTCATGCAATTTAATACAGGTGGACAATCGACAGATTAATGTGTCAGCGTGGTCAATCGCTGTTAAGGTTTTTTTCAAAATCACTTCTTTTCTGTTGTTTGATTCCTGCTTTGGAAGATGACTGTAGTGGTGCAATTTCTCAGCAGTGGCAACACAATCAACAGAAACTTGAATACAGCATCAGTCGCTTTCAGTTGAGTGAAAAGAAGAGAAAAATTGGTCCTTTTTGATTAACTTTTAGGCACAACAAGAGGTGGCACCCAGCTACAAAGCTTTACATCAGTGGGCACACGAACAGATGCTATTAACACCGATCTGAGGATGGCACATGGATCCCGTGTCTATGTAACGGTAATGGCAAGAAATGCAGCTGATCTCATTGCCATTTCAACCTCTGCCGCTGAAATGATTGACTTGACACCACCAGAAATTCTTTCCGTCATTGACGGGAAGACTGAACAAGGTATATGTCAAAATCTGTTGTCGACACAGTTTTCACGAATTTTGTATTGCATGACCCAATCATCCTATCAATCTTATCATACATACTTTGTCAACTGTTGAATATTTTTCATTCAGAAACCTGGAGCTCAAACATATTATTCCCAGTGGCAATAGAATATGATAACGGATAGTTTGCAAGCTTGAGGAAGCCTGTAGAGATGAGACAATGAGAAGCAGTTACAGTTTTAGAAGTGGGAAGAAACACCTTAGGAATAAAAGATCCACGGAATCATGCACGGACTGAAAAACTAATCCATATGTGGACCGGGCTAGGATTCGAACCCGAACCGCAGAGGTGGAAGGCGAAGAAAGAACCACTACGTCAGTCTCACTCCCCAGTGTTTGTAATCAGTCAGAGCTAATCATAAACAATTCAGGATACTTTTTCCCGCACCTACTCCTCCAATGTTTTATTTTTTGCTTTTAATGTAGGCAGGAATAAAGATTTACCAAAATCTTCAGACAGAATTCATTTTCTTTTCTCAGATATTGACTTCAGCGCCGAGGATTCTTCTCTTACGTTCAGCTGGTCAGCGTTTGATACCGAAAGTGAAATTGCTCACTGTGAATGGGCAGTAGGTAAGTAGATTTAGATTTTCTGTTCCCCACGGTGAATCAACATCTTACTCTCTGTGGAGTAGCCTGAAACTCCTTGACTCTGCTTGCTGTGCATCAGTCATCTGACTTGTAAGTGATTTTATATGCGGTATTGAAGTATACATTTTCGGCTCTCGGCTGACTTTCAGTCGTTGGTAATCTCTGACCGGTGACTGGTCAGTGTCCATTTCTTGTTTAGGTGTATCGGATACAGCAATTCACCTTGGCATCTTAGAAGCCGGGATCATTTGTTAATCAACTGGCCTTCCACCAAGTGGCATTTGACCCTCTTGAATAATACCTGACCCACGGGTGGTGCCCATACCATTTGACCTGCAGACTCCTTAAGAATACCTACTCGCAAGAGTCATTTCAGTATTACATTTTACCTTAGTTATGATCAACATCCAGATCAACATCCAGACCTGAGAATTACAGTAGAAATATTATTCACTGCATAGTTCCAGTATTTACAACATGCGTTTAAAGTCTGAGCTTCCAATACTCATTTCAAATTGAATTTTTCCCCAGGATTAGAGCCTAATCTTGATGACATCGCACCATGGTCACAGTCTCCTAATGCCACCTCCACCATCACCACCAGTCTGTCACAGACTATGGTTGAAGGTCAGCGCCTGTATGTCACAGTCACATGCTACAATCACGCTGGACAGTCGTCCTGGAAATCATCAGATGGTGTTACCATAGTAACAGAGTCTCCAAGTGCTTTGGCAGCTGTTGTCAGTGTGAAGACTTTGTCAGAGACTCAATATGCAACACGAGATGGGTATCAGTCGCAGAGAGATTCTCTTAAAGCATCGTGGCATGGATTTATAGATCCATTTGGAATCCATTTCTATCAGGTATAAAAGTGCAGAAGATATAGAGTAGAACATTCATAAATCAGCAGATGAGCCTGGGTTAGTACTTCATCTCTACTCAGATGCTGCTGTTGACACTGAAAAATACACAATTAAAGTGTTTGAGGTGCATTGGGTTTTTTCATGAGAAATAGGTCAGTAAACCAAAGTGAAACACATAGGCTTGACAACAAATTACTCACACATGCTTCTGAATAAAAAGAAGTGATGCAAACATCATTTTCTTAATCACATAAGTACCACAACGTTATGGCTGTTGAAGCAACAACATGAGTAATTTAAAGATCCTAAGGTTATCTGAAATTCATACTTTCCTTCCACTTCCTCTAATTTGGACTGAAAGTATGCATGTCTTGTATGATTGGTTTTTCAGGTTGAAAGTAATTTGAAGTGGGGTTTAAAGATGAAAGGAAGGATGGAGAATTCATACTGAGACAACCGACGAGTTATAAACTTTCGTCTAATTTCTTAAAAACCCTTTCCCGTTCTAGTGTTATCTTAGTGGGCCAAACGTCTCCACAACATGGAGACCTTGTGGATTCACTTCTGAGAGCCACCTTGATTGGTCAGGTCTTAGCCTGGTTGATGATGCAACCTATAGTCTGTCAGTTAGAGCCATCAATCATGCTGGTCTGATCAGCCAGGATGTCGCTGCCAATTTCACTGTGGAGTCTGCCAAGCCTGCAGGAGGTGGTATGTAACCCAATCAATCTCTCAAATGCTTAAGATTCAGCATGAAACAAGAATTTCAATATCTCATTTATTTGGTACTAGTATTTAATTACTCGTGGTAGGAGTGAACCTTAAACATACCCCAACAGGCCCAGCAATCATGTTCCATGCTTTTTTCACGTACCCAGTGTGGACATTTCTTTGCTCTCCCGCGGTCAAGAAAACACGACGAAAATGTTCAGATTTCTCCCACTATGATAACTCCTTTCAGCTCAATTTCTGATTATGATTCTGTTTTGCTTTTCCTCCTCATTTTGCCACAATAATGGTGGCGCTAAAAATCTCTAAAACTGTTTGTGTAGCGAGGGGAAAACGTAACGTGGACATGTGTTAGTCCACACAACGTCTTCTAGGCCTACACCATGTGGACTTCTCTTGTTTGGAGGTCCGCCCTGTATATGCCATGCTTGTGTACACACGTTGTACTGTTGTGCCCACTGAAATGGCGGCTGCGACTGGATGCTTAAAACATAATAACGCACAAATGTATCCCTACAGTTTCACTCAGCCATCCTTGATGAATTGTTCAACATCTCACAAATTGCGTTCTTGATTGTTTCTCTACCCAAAGCACCAAGCCTCATCAGGTCATTCTGGTTGGGTAATGGGACGGTTGAATTTGCCTGGGATGGCTTATTCTCCTCCTCTTCCTCCTCTTTGGTCTACGAAGTATCTCTTGGCACCATCCCAGGAAGTAGTGATATCATGCAGTGGGTGGAGACCATGGATACTGGTATGCGTGTCTCACCGCTGGTTCCCTATACCAACTACCACTTGACTTTGACATCCATTAATGCAGCCGGCTTGTCACACACGGTCAAGAAGGTGATCAGTGTCTAGAGGATTCGCAATCATCAACTTAGGTATTTTGTTGGATTTATTATTTAGGCTTGTGACAATTTATGTTAGATTCCTATTAAACGATACACAGATTATTTGTATTTGATGAAAGAAAGAGATTTTGCCGAAAGTACTCAGACTTTCTTTCGCATGTTATCGCAATCTACGTTTCACTTGATGGCCATCTGTTGTATTTTGCCATTTTCTAATGTAGTCTGCTAAAAAGCATGTAGGAAATTTGTTTTTTAATATAGTTAAATTGTATTTGTGTAGAAGATATACTTAGTTTTTTCCCTCGTGCAACAGCATTGTGCTTTTCATTGTTACTTTCTTCCCATAATTTGCTGAGGACTACACAATAAGTTGATTATGAGTTCTTGAAGTCTTTCGCGCCATATTTAAATTGGTTCGATGCATGAAATTTGGGTCAGGTATTACCTGTATAACCATATATTATCAAACAAAGTAATACTTTGCTTGGGAATAGTGTTACATAGGCTGCGTTCTGTGTGAATCGCCTTTCAGGGGCAAGTTCGATCTATGGTTGACTATGGTCAACTATGGTTGACTATGGTCTTTGATCAAACTTGCCCTCGATTGATGGCTTTTGTGTTGTTTTCAGATGTAGTTGGATCAATATTGTTGATTGAATGAACACAAAGATGTTGCAGTTTGAAGGAGGAATTTGCAAAATTAATCGGAATTAGTGAGCATGTTATTGAATGAACCTTTGTAAGAAAAAAAGTGATGCTGCATGATCACGTACCAGTGGTTGAATTGCAGTCAATGGGGTTCGGGTTTACATATGTTAATTGGTGAAATAACATCAAGTAAAAATCAAGGTAAATCAAACCCCAAACTTGTCTGTCAGCATTGGTAGTACCTAGGCCATTTCTCGACAGCAAGGCCATTTCTTGATGCCCTGATGGCTAATGAGCAAAACCATAAAATTCTTGGGCAGGGTTGTTCATTCTCAAGACAAGGAAACTAGTGCCACCTTAAGCGCCGTGCAGTCTGAACACGTCAATTAAGAAGCTTTTTTCTAAAGTGTTCGGCAAAGAAAATTACACTTTTTTACTCAACATAAAAAGGTCTAGTAAGTCAATTGTAGACACATTTACATTTATGTACACTTCGTCTTAATTGTACTTTCTATCATGGAGGCTGGATCTTATTAATCTCAACATGAAAATTAAGAACAGGCTTGGCTGCAAGATTTATCGCTGTGAGGTCTGTTTAACAGTATTGATGTCATTCGGACTCTTTGTCTTTTTTTCTGAAAGTCTTGTGTTGTGTCTTTTTTTCAGTAAAATGCAACATGTATCCCTCTTTTCAGGTTTCGAATAACAATGTTACTCCTTGGTTTTCTTGAAGTAATGACAGACATTTGCTTTAATGCCAGGGGAATCGCAACTTCCTCAGAATACAAGCATACTGATAGACCTTTGTTCTAACATTTCTACATAAGTGTACACCACTTATGTTGAAATAATATGTTGAAAGCTTGCAAAAATATCACCCTTACAATGCCTTATTGTTGTCCAGCAACTTACCTTGAATGGAATAGAATAAAATAAACATTTCATTTTCAAGCACGTTAGTTCCTATAAAATATAAATACACTAAGTTCAGTGTCATCACCATCGTTGTATAGGTGATGCACAGAATTGTTTGATTGGTGTAAATGTTGCGTAATGTTTTACATCTTTTGAATAAAATTCACTACTTTTCTCCATTATTGGCCCACATGAAAAGTGAAAGACTCTTTCCTTTGTTGGAAATCTCTTCCCTCCCCGGCCCCAAGTCATCTGTTACCATATTTATAACCCATGCTATACCCCTCCTGCAATTTGGGTTATGTAGGTGTGCTACGTTTAGCCTACAGCCGCGACCAATGGAAGTGGATACATACATGTACAACTCGCATGTGACCTATGAGCTAGTTGTATACGTTCTGTACGTACAAGTGATTCCACCTAGAGCAGAAGCACGCCCTCATCGGTTGAAAAGGGCCTTGTTGGTCAGGAGTGCTCATTTTGTTGATAGCGATGCAACCGAAACGCCAGCATTTCATAGTAATTTTTGAGCAAGTGAAGTGCAGTTCCTATCAAAGGAGCTTGGAAAATTGGAAAGTTCCTTGGAAAACTGCGCCCTCTCTTGATCCAGGTAGAGGCTCATACAACTTCTTGGCTTCGTATGGGGAAACGATTTTTTTTATGATTTTGCTTGATTGTTCACGAGTTGGACCAATAGAGGGCCCTCATCTAGCCAAAATGTAGCAGCTGTATGTGCTAATGAATCTAGAAATAGCTCTCATATCCATGCAGCGGAGGGATCTGTCTGCAGAGACTTAGTTTTTGGCTTGTGGAGACGGTTGAAAAAGAAAGGAGTAATTTTTTAACAAGGGGTAGAAAAAGAAGGTGGCTCGTAATGGCATCTTGTCAACTTTAAGCTAAGCCGACTGGTGCAGCATTGGTTGGCTCCCCACTGCGACTGCGGGGATCATTATCAATGTGATTCGAATTAAATCCGAATAATTAGATCTAGTGATGACTATTGTAATTATCTTTGACGAATCAGCATGGGGGGGTGTCGTCAACTCAGAAGAGCTCGCACATGGTCTTCCTTTTTCTAAAACCTCAAGCCGTAGTAGGCACTATTTTTTCACATTTGCCTTTTTTGGCAGCAATACTGGCAGCACTCTTAAATTTGATGATTGCAGAAAAAAAAAGGAATGCTGAAAAGACATTTATATTGATTCAAAATTTGAATCTAATTATTACTTTTATGCGTAATTATGTATAATAATGTATAGTATACAAATATTTTGGTTACAATTTACCCATTAACCAGCCCTTTATCTTCGTGAGCCCATATTTACATTATTTTGGTCAGAAGCATCGAAGGTTTTTAAAGCACTGTACAATGAATTCAAAGTACTGATTACACTACAGGCCGCATGGATGTTTTTGTTCAGAGCAGGCTCTCAATGAGCGAGTGGTGTGGCTGAGATTTTACCGGTGGGGGCAACAAAGGGGCACCAGCATTTTTTTTGGGGGGGGCAAGTTTTTGTTCAATATCCACTCCTCCGTTTTTTTCAGTTTGGGTCCGGGGAAATGTTGTCGGTCCAGGTAAGACGGTCATTCAAAACAACACCAAGGAATTTGGTACTGCGGACAATCGATATTGGAGAACCAACAGTGTAAATGGATGTTGAGGAAGTGGGAAGAGAGGTTGTAGGATTATGAAAGAACATGCATTTTGTTTTGTTTGCATTGAGAGACAGTTTATTGGGTGGAATTTTGTTAGCAAGTGAGGTGCCGATGTTAGTAAAGTAGGAATTGAAGGACTTAGCAATGTCAGCAGGAGAACACGTGTTGTCCATCGGAGCATTTCTCGGGCACAGCTGTTTTATTACCTCTACCCAGGATTTTGTTGATCGCTCGCCAAGTACTTTTAATATCACCTTTACAGTGATCAAACTTGCCGGCGTAGTGATTTTTCTTGGCAAGACGAATGATAGATGTCAGGCGATTACGATAACCCTTGTAAGTACTCATTAGCAGCAGATGGATTCCTCAAGAACCGCCTCTACAGTCTGTTTTTATGGATGCAAGAATTGATGATGGCATTGGTGATCCACGGTTGCCTGGTCTTTGTGTCACCTATCCTTTTGATAACAAAAGGAAAATGGTAGTCGTATACGTTAACAAAACGGTCCATAAAAATATCATATGCCAAGTCAGCTTGTTGGCACTGAAAAACATCAGTCCTAGCGGTAGATTCGATATCTGCAATAAAAGAACTAAGAGTATTGTTATTGATACTTCTGGTGATATAGGTACTGGGTGCAGTGTGAGAGTTTAGAGAGAAACAAGGAGTAATTTAAAACAAAGGCAAATGATCAGAGATATCGGTGTTAAGAATACCTGGAAGGACATCACTCTGATCACTGTTTGTTACAAAGATGTCGATAAGGGTAGTGCTACGAGGGGTTATACGAGTAGGTCGATCGATCAAGGAACGAAAGCCATAGGAAAGAAAAGTATTTACAAAGTCATCTGTTGGTAGATGTTCTGAACATCTCAGAAGGTCGAGATTGAAATCTCCCATTACGTAGCATATTTTGCTCTCTGAAGAAATCAAATTAAGACAACAATCAAAAGCCCGTTGAAAAGTATCCAAATTGGTCCCAGGAGCTCTATACACATTTCCCACGAATAAATTATGTGGGCCGGTGCGTTTGATTTCGATGAACACAGACTCGTAGTCATCAGAAGGTGGCATAAGGTCATCTCGAATACGGAATTCAAGAGAACAATGGATAAACATGGCCACTCCCCCTCCAATCTTGTTTGAACGAGAGGAATACGCAAGTTTATAATTAGGCATAGTAACATATGGAGGGGGAGTGTCCTTAAACCACGTCTCAGTGAATCCATAGATAGAAAAAGAACGAGTAAGAGTGGACAAGCCATCTTGAATATCGTAGAAATGTCTACAGAGACTCCCGGAGTTCATGTAGAAAACAGGAAAACAACCATCTCTGGCAACATTTAAGTTATTAAAGCTGTCACTGTCCAAATCATAACCTAAACTATTTGGAGTAGGATCATAATCTTCAAGATGATGAAAAATCCCATAAACACAAAAGAGGTGACAAATAAGATAATGAGCTATAGGAGTACACTACAATATATTTGTATGCGACTTTAATTTCCTTTTAAATTCGTTTGGGACTATAAGTGAATGACGGAAATTTATTAAAGTGTAATAGCCAAACAAAATTAAGTACAAAACAATGCAAAACCAAAAATGAACACCTTGTTGAACCAGTATACAAAGCAACGATGAAGCAAATAACAGCGAAGAAAGGCCAGCGTGACTAAAAATAAACTGAAATAAATAAAAGTCCACATAGACAAATATATTAACTTGCAAGCAGATGGTACAATCTATGGATGACAAGGTCATCAGCCCTGCACGTCTAGTGGTACAAGTGAGCTAAGTTGCCATCAGCACCCCTCCACTTACCGGCCACGAAGCAATATTTCTTACCCTCTTTGTAGGCTGCGGATGCGTCGGAAGACCACTTCCTCTTCTCTAGTAGTCCTCTATTACGTGAAAATGAAATCAGGAGGGACATTCATACGGAAGCGTATGAGGGCCACTTGCAAAATCTTTTTTCGAGATACTATCTCGCTGCGGCGAATTACTATCTCGCCGCGGCGAGTTAGCTAAATCTAGTTCAAATCGCTGCATGTTGAGACTCAGTCTGGATACCAGACCCAATGATTCCGACTACTCTTCTTATCAAGGGTCCTGTATCACCCAACGTCCACGTGACCAACACTTCCCCAGATTTCCGGGAATAGTTGAACCATTCCGAACTTAACAGCACTTTTTCTTTAATGTTCCTCAAAATTGTAAAAATTGTCACAACTGATTAAAATTGGTAGGCAAATAAAAGGGGCGAGGAAAAGGACCATTCGGATGGTATCGTTAATATTCGGGCATTTCCGGCCGCGTCTGCACTAAACATTTTGTGAACTGTCTGTGGTATACCGGTCGGAGCATACACCATCCACAACAAAGTAGAGTTAGGGTCAAAAATTGGAACATGTTTTTGATAAATTAATTGATTTTTTAATACAGCTCGTATTTTAGAAGTTTAGTATATATTATTCAAAACCGAACAAAATCTTGAGGATCTCATTTCTTTTTCTAGATTCCCAATTGAATGCATTCGCAAAAAGCGAATGAATTTTTATATACGCAACGTAATCTCTAGGATTGAATGAATTTTTAAAGTTCAAAATTCTTTAAAGATAGAAAAAACTTCACAATGTAAACATTTTCATCAAAATTTAGACTTCTTTTACAATGTAATGGCTTATGTATTTACGGAAATCTCACTTTATCCGAATTAAGAAACTATATGAATTGAGAAATCATCTGATCTGAGAAAGCATCTGAATCAAGAAAGCATCCAAATTGAGAACGCATCAAAAGCCGCGTATAAAAAAAATGCAATCTTTTAGACGGTATTCTGCGAAAGCCTCATAGTGCTTCAAGCACTTCACAGTGAAGCATAATTGACTAAGATTGTTTTAACAAAGTTTTTGCAAGTTGATTTTACTGGTGGCTGCTTATTAATTTGGATTTAGTTAATTTGGATGCTTTCTCATTATATTTAGGATCGTGTGAGATTTTGTGTAAAATGCATGATCGGAATAGCTGCTTAACGCTGAAAAGAGATCCCCTTTCAAAAATACGTTCAGTCTATTCGGTACAAAGATTTTTGTTTCGATCTAAAAAAAGTTTGTGCTTTAACAATTCGTTGAAATTGAAAACCTTGAAAAATTGTGGCTTTGTAAAAATGTACGTTCTTTGAAAATTCCTTGGAATCTAGTAAATAGGCTGCGTCAATGAAAATTCGTCCACTCCTCAAAACTTCATTTCAATCTAGAAAAAAAACGTATTTGATCCTTCAAATTTATTCCTGCTTTTGAAAAATCTATTCCAAATTTCTAAAATAACGATTAAAAAAATGATATTCTCATTGAAACACGTTTAATTAAAAAATGCTCCAGTCTTTTCGACCCTAGTTCTGCTCCGTAATTTGGGAGTACTCCGACCGATATAACCCGGAAAGTTCACAAAATTCTTGGTATAGATGCTGCTGGAAATGCCCGAATATACCGATACCATCCGAATCGTCTTATCTTCCCCCTTTACTCATGTGGCTACGACGTTTATTTATTTTAATCCTTGTAACAATTTTGACAATTCTGAGGAGCATCATTGAAAAAGTGTTCACGTTAAACTGAATGTAATATGGACAGGATAAGTTCGGAATAGTTCGACTATTCCCGGAAATCTGGGGGAGTGTTGGTCAACTGGACATTGGGTGATACAGGACCCTTGATTAAAAGAGTAGTCGGAAATATTGGGTCTGTTATCCAAACTGAGTCTTAATATGCAGCAAGTTCAGCTGGTTTTAGCTAACTCGCTGCTGCAAGATACACATTCAACGATTTATCTTGCAGCAGCGCGATAGTAACTCCATTTTTCCCCTGCAAGTTGCCGTTATACGGTTCCGTACATTCAGACCTCTATGCTTTGCTTTCTTATCGTGCTCAGTGGACCGTGGATCTCTTCTACTACTGGTAGTGTGACGCTTTGTTTACCATAGAACCACATCTGCTTCCATTGTAAACAGGTGTCAGAGGGAGTATCCCTCTAAACATGACCATTGCAATAAGTAAAAGTCTTCATAAAACGTTCAGCGTGGTGGACCTACATTCCATTGCTTTTGTCGTATTGGGGGCCTTTTCATCACTATCAAATCCAAAGATCCCGAATGTTTGTTGCACCCACTTGAGAGTTTCACGATGGAATTCAACAGCAATGGATGTTTTATCGCTTTGATGGCCTTCATGTCTCATTTCATATCGGGATGTATAGCGAAGGGTATTGGTGTCTTACTTCCAACGCTCCGCGACCAGTTAGTGACACATACCTGGATCATAGGTATAGTGGGAGCATTAATGGGAGTCGCGTCAGATGTTGCAGGTACATTAACTGTTTTTATCAACATTTCCTGTTGAAATGCAAGAATGATTTCTAAACACTTTCTATCGATGCTCATTTCCATTCGACTTGACGCATTCACCTGAATAGATAAGTTTATCATTTGCCTTTTGAGTGAAACAATCGTGGAGATGACAGAGATCATGAACGCAAGGGAAATGCAATCACAAAAAAAAAGGGGAAGCATATGCAAATTTACCTCGACTAAGGTCCTTGGTAAAAAGCCATTGACAAGCGGTCAAACCCTTTTAATTTTCGCAACAAGCTATACCTAGCAAGAAATGAGACCTAGGGGTACCCCCAACATGTCCAATCCCTATACACATTCCAGACTATTGTTACATAACACCCCCCCCCGATGTCTGAAAGGAATTCCCCAGATTCCTGCGAGACAATGACCAACACAAAGCAGGGGGGGTTCTCTCCGTCTCATACCTTGCTGCATATGTACCAAGCTATACGGTCTCAACATGTTCCACTTTCGCAGATAAGAGCTTTTTTATATAATGGGAAACGATATCACAGCAGGGGACTTGTATATTCATTTTCTTTATTTCAGGGCTTTTACACCGAATCATTGCATATTGCGTTTTGTTTTGGATATTGATTACATTATAAATTATTGTGGTCAGTCATGCAGGTATTTAATTTGCTGGTTCTCAATCGAGCCGGATTTGTCGTTTCGCTCAAAGCAATTTATGCAACCGAGAAAGGGTTTTTATTGACAATTGGGTCCTGACTGAGGTTACGTTTTTTCTTTCCAGCCACAGGTATTGTTTCCGTTTCCTTACCAAGGACACGAGCGAAAGAATTCGGAAATATGATTACTTTTGCTGACTGGCTGTAATTTAGCTCTCATGATGTTTCCATGCCGATCAAGAAGATAAAATAAGTCCTAGTCAATCAAACAACTTCCCCAATGTTTCCATTTATTTGCTAACAATTTTTTACTTTGAAAAAGCGCAAATTCGATCCAGGGTTCCTATATAAATGCATATGAACTTATACTCTTTTATGGCTCGATATTATAGATAGCGTGTGTGCAAGTAGAAACATTTAAAATCGTGCGGGTTGGTGCCTCAGTTCCCCAAGCTTGAATCAGGAGCATGTCTTCACTCGCTCTGCATTCTCTGAGCAAGATTCTCTTTAATTTCTAATTAGCATGTGCCTTTTTTGAGTTAATTACCTTCTCTGATTAAAGGTCTCTCTACATTGCCTCTGGAAAATCTGTTTGGGTATCGCCGTGTGACGATCTCCTGCAGTATAGTTGGAAGTTTTGGTATGATTTTGCTTCCGAGCGTGACAAACCCCGTTCATATTGCCCTGGCTCTGGCGGTGTTGGTCGGTAAGTTCCTTCAATTAGCCTTTTCTCGTCTCTGCCTCCGCCAGAGACAAGGAACGAAAGGTTAATTGTTTCATGGATGCAGGACGACATTATCTGAAACCTCCATGCAGTGAATCAAACTTGAACAATGGCGCAGGATACCGTGCGAATGACACACTCACTGGTTTTACTGAATTTACTCTGTACCTTGAGAGTAGATGAAAAATTATGGCTGACATTTCGATGCGCATACATACACCAAAACATGACATTAATATTTCGTGAAGAAAATTACAGTACAGCAGCAGAAACAAACTGATTTCAAATGAAGCCCTGTTTTTATAGTAGTGCAATTTATCTTTTTTCCCAAATTTCTGTGATTTATAAGTAAACATTATCTCAGAATTTCCGCCCAGCTACCCTTCGCATTCACTTCAGTTACGCAATCGACGAAACCCGGCAAACTACTGGTTGCGAGTGACCTGCGTTTAAAAAGCACCGCATTCTTCCTTGTACACCCCCCGTGCATGTCTATTGTCCAATGCAACTCAGGACACTGAAAGGGCACTGGAATCCCGTGGGTCAAGTGTATAGGTGCAGCGCGACTCACTCATCCGAAGGGTGCAGAATGAACTCATGTCGAACGAATACGGTCAGTGAAGCTAAACTGAAATCTTTTATAAATAAGATTTCGAAACTGTCTGATTCCTTTTCCTAACAAATAAAAGCGAGCATATATTTTATATACATAAAATATTTTGAACACTGTGAAGATAGATGTTCTTTGCTCCTGTGTTCGACAGCTTGCCTCTATTATTTTACATGTACTTGCCGTTTTTATGGATTTTTTCCAGGGCCGTCTCTTGGTATTTTTACAGTTTTGGGTAAGGCTCTTGTTGGACGTCATTTTAGTAAGCAGTATGCTCTGGCTTGTGGAGTCGCCTACGCAGGACAAGCACTTTCACTTCTTGCTGTTGCACCAATGACACAGGTTTTCCTTGACACCTACGGTTGGAGGGGAGCAATGTTACTTATAGCCGGAATCTGTATACACATGGTACCAAGTGCCATCGCTGTTAAAGTCATCAAAGCTGAGTACGATCCCATCTCATATACCAAGATTACAAACACCGACCAGGAGTACCAGGAAAGAAGTGAGGGCGCTGTTACTCTCTGCATCAAGGCATTTTCCAGAATCATCCGCAAAAATCTGGATCTGACAATACTTCTTGAGTTCAATTTCTGGATCGTCGCAACGTGTCGATTTAGTGTGTCATGTGTCTTCACTACCTGGCTGCTGTATTTTGTTCCCCATCTTCAAGTCAAAGGCTTTTCACCCCAAGTAGCGGCGTCAATTTGTTCTGCGGGTGCTGTTGGATCCCTCATCGGATCCATCATCTGGTCACCCTTTGTGGACAGGGGTCTCATCACAAGTACATCGGGAATGGTTCTTAGCAGCCTCGCTCTGACCTTGTCATTCGTCTTGGATCCTTGGGTGACTGACTTCATCAGTTGCCTTGCTGTCACCTTGGCTTTTGGAGTGTTTGCCTCATCAGTTTACACTCTTGTGGATGTAATGACCAAAGAAATCCTCGGTAAAGAGCGACTAGTCAGCGCATTTGGCTGGATGAGGGCTTTCTTTTTGCCCCGACTGATTGCAGGTTTTGTACCAGGTTAGTGACCCTTTCAAAACATTTTTTAAGTCACTCATTCAATGGAAAATATACAATCACCGCCCGATCAGTATTGAGAATAGTCCGATTCGATCTATCCCGGAACCCAAACTTTGACTACAGTGACTTGACAACACGATAAGGACAAACAGTGCAATACTTTCTGAAAAAAGTTTTTGGGTATAGTTTTTACCCGAATTAACCGAGACAAATAAAATTAAAATATTACACGTATTTACCTTTTTCTATTCGATAGGTTGGATATACGACCAGAGAGGCAGCTATGATTTGGCGTTTGTCATCATTGGTCTCATTCCAACTGTCTCCCTCCTCCCGTTATTTATTGCCAAGTTTCGAAATACACTAAAGGGTATTTGAGGTCCACCGCAAACACTTTGCATGCCCTACATTTTAACCCTGCCTGCAGCAATATCAGCTCCATTTTGGAGTGCCGTTTTGCTATTTACTTGATTAAAAAAAATACGGCCAATTATCAAAACCTTCCATGATATCCTACCGCTGTTCATGCTGAAAAGCCTGGTTTAGTCGCTGTATACACAGGGGTTTCCCCTCAGCCATGAAAAAAAATTCGAGCCGGTCCCTGAGTACGGCCCTTTGAACTGTGTATAAACATCTTCCAGATGTGCCTCCCAAGTGATTGTTTACATCAGGCCTGCACTTATCAATGGGAATACCCTCCAAGCACCCTTTCAATGGGGTGGTGCCCCTTTGATGTTTGTGGCTTGGGCTGACCATAGAGACACATGTCTAAACATCATATGGAGCAAGGTATGAGACGGAGAGAACCCCCCCTGCTTTGTGTTGGTCATTTTCTCACAGGAATCTGGGGAATTCCTTTCAGACATCTTGGGGGGATGTGTTAAGTAACAATAGTCTGGAATGTGTATAGGGATTGGACATGTTGGGGGGTACCCCTCGGTCTCATTTCTTGCTGGGTATACTGAACATGCATTAACCAAATCAGCTCTGCTCATAGCCAGTCAGATCCTCGGTTGCATCCCACTCTACCGTCCCAGCACAAAAAAACAAAAACAAAACAAAATTCAAAGCCTTTTCTTTTTGAGTGTGGAGGACATCCATGTAGCAACTTTGAACCATTTACAACAGCTTTTGGGTCAAAAGAAATACAATTCCCACAGTTGTAATACCACTCTCAAAATGGAGCGTCTAACTGGCACCAAGGACATCAGAGGAAACAATGCCATACAGGGCCAAAATAATATCCTTATAATACGTTTTATTATAGACATAGTATGCTTCTGATTAATCTTATAATTGATGCAGGCCTATCATTTCAAGTGTTTTCTAACCCCGTAAACAGAATAACTCCCGCTATTATTCGGAAGTACGTGTACTTCACGAGAGTGCCATCCGCTCTCTTTAAAAGTCCAAATTAAACTGAGTCTCCCAAGAATTTCCTTTGATTCTAGGGCACAATTGAGAACAAATTGAAGAGCCTCAAGGTACATGGAGATCTGCAAGCTATGAAAACATGCAATCAATAGAATGTTGAACGTCTTCAACATACACCCTGAATTTCACCTCTATTATCACAAAGAAGCAAATCTTAAAAATGTTGATAAAGCGTCGATTGATCTTGTAGGTCAGTAAGAATTGACATAAAACTTTCTGAGATTTATTCACGTGCACCACCTTTTGGAACACTCAAACTGAATTTGTGCCAATTTCCAGGTGCGACCTTTCTTATTTCGGACCAATTTCACGACACTGAAAGTATTGTGGAGGTAATAGTATTTATCTGAATGATTTTGGAGATTACAGCACAGATTTGGCAACACTGTTGAGTAAAGTTGATTTGGACCACGCTAGAACACCGTACCGACTCCAAGGAACGGTAACACGTCCTTCTTACACTGGACATGTCCTTAGCCGGACATTGTATCGCCGAATTTCTGTGTCTGGACTCGGAACTTTCTGGTGGGTTGCTCGCTATACAAAATACATGTGCTTGCATTCTGCCTTGACAGGGTAATTTGCCAACCCGTGGCCCAAGGCTTCGTCCGTGCAACCCCTGGAAATCGGTCAGGCACTCTGTACCAGCACGACGTGTCTTAGAAGTACCGACTGGTGGCGTGTTCGGCGTAAACACTGCTTATTGGGGGTATGGAAAATTACGCTTTTTTAAAACGTCAGACTTTTTGCCAGCCGCAAAATATCAGTAACGATCGATGTCAGCAGGTATTGGTCCTTTAGGCAGTATTGCAATTTTCTTTGGGAAAACTGGATAAATTTTTCAAAAAGGAGTTTCAAACGTTGCATTATTCAGCAAAATTTGAACGTGATTTTGATTAGTTTTCTTTCGTTGAAATTCCCTTTCCTTTTAATTTGCTCATTTCAAATATTTTATTTTTAGACAGAAGAGATTTGTCATAATTGTTTCACACACTTGCCAAATTTTACCCCTTCCGCTGGCTTTGTTATTAAGTGGAAAACAATTTATTATAGGACCTCCAACACCAAAAAATAACGCTTTCGTCGTCTGCTAGTATACTTTGCGAGCTGCCGGCACACTGCAGGCTGCTGCACATGCGCGACCGCAGAAAGTATTTTTCCACACGGCCTATGGCAGAGAAACATACGTGTAAAAGAATTGTGTTGGAATTCCAGGAATCCTATGCAACAATACATTGCCTTTGTCATGATCTTTATGATGGATCCGATCACAAGGTACGCCAATACAATTTTCCCAGATAGGCTGGCAAGTTTGCGAACGCTAACTTGACAATCCTTGGTTAAAAACAAGCCCTTTGGTTTTATCAAAGCGATAATGTCATCTCTAATACTGGAGACTCTTTTTTCTGGTAATTTTATTAACCCTGTTGCAAATCAATCTGCAAGCCAAGCCATTCAATCTCGGATATGAGATTCCACACATTTTTGTTGGTGTTTGGAACAAAACCTGAGTCAACCAGATCTTTCTTGACCTCGGCATTGTACCGATTAGCCTCTTGTATGCTAGCTGCGTATCCCAACCCGTCAACTAAATATACTACGATTGATTTTCCTTCACTTCCCCATTTCTAAATTTGTGGTCTAACCACCTTTGTGAAGACGAAGGGGGCCGTAGGGCAATACTTTAAATTTGCATAATATGGGAGCCCATTCTCATACCATACGAAACCAAGATACTTCTGATAGTCTGGTAAAATACTAACGTGATGGTATCCTGATTTTAAGTCAAATTTGAACAGAAACCCGCCTTTTCACAGGAAAATCAAAGCAGTACGGACGTCTCCGCATTCGACCGCGTGTTTCCAGAGGTATTTGTTTACTGGTCCCAAACCTGAACTCTGTATTAAGACGGACGAAGGATTTACTTTGTACGGTTGTTCAGAACATTCAGTGTCACAGTCTAAACGTTGTAGCTCTGAAGCGGCTTCCTTGACAAATGTGGCATGATATCGTGCCAAAGCATTAAGCAACCCAACCGTTCTTATGGTCTGCCTCTGTCAACTGGTCCAAGACAGACTGGTTGACATATAATGTCTCTTGGGCCCTTCTCTTTTCCATGTTAACTGAATATTAATAGCTGATTTTATCTTAGCTTCGAAACTAGCTAAAACTTCAGCCAGTCTGTCTTTGAACAACTTGGCTTGCTTAGAAGAGAACTGACCGAGTAGTTGTTGAATGTCTTCCTTCGTAGCGGCTGAGCTCATCGTGTAATCTAAAGATTGAAATACTAGAGAACACGATGTAGTATGGCAAAATGTTTAATGGAGGTCACAGCGGCGTGCAAGCGTGAAGGCCTCAACCATGCCAGACCCAATCTTTATATAGCCCCTCTTGACCACTTGGCCGTTACTCTTACATGTATCTAACAAGGATAAATTCAATTCATTCTATTTCACCTCGGCGCTCAACCGAATGAATAGACATTTTCTGAGCCTCTATATTCCAACTATGTATGCCAACTATTCTGATATATTTCAACCAAAATTGCATAGGGCCCAGTCGATCCTGCCCAAGTTGAAATAGTGCTTAATCAAAGTAGTTGATTATCACAATTCGGGGACATTCTAAGATAGGCAACAAAAACACACAAATAACTTGTCAGTTGCTACAATTACCATTGAAAATTGCCTGAAAAAGAATTTGAATGCAGTAGCCAAGTTATTCCTTGCTTATTTTCATAAAGATATCGCTTGAATTTTATATCAACGGTACAAATTGCCTCATTAGATGTTAAATCAGTTTTTTGAGTGTTTTTGGTGGATTTTTTTATGTCAGATGTATTGTGGTTTGCACATAAACTGCCTGGAAAAGTGATGCAGCCCTAGCGTGCCTTCCTTTTTTCACCCTAGCGCCTAACTAAAGCAATACTTTGCTTTGCATTTCACAGTATTTGTAATTTTACGAAGCTCTCATTGTCTATTCATAAATCTGAAGTTTACGTACATGTTGGAAAGTTCTGATGAAATTCTACGTAGGCCTACTATATTCTGATTTGTCGTTTGAGGGGTTCAACATCACATGTTATGAGATTGTTAGCACGTATAGGCGTACCAGTATTTAACAATGAATTCACAGGTTTTGTCCTCAATGTGGTTAGGCAAATATACACAGTGAGGGAACATTAAAGTGCACGGCAGGGGACTTCACTAGTATGCGTGGGGGGGGGGAAGGAATCTCGGATTTTAACCCTCAAACTAGGCCGTGTTATTTTGGCCTATCTCAAAGCCGGGTAGGATGGATTACGGTTGAACTCGACATGCAAATAAAACACTAGAGTGTTGCGGTTCGGTCCTTCTACAGTTGTCAGGAGGGTGGAGATCCGTCCGCCAGTTAAGGAGGACAGGAGGTGCTTAACCAGAAAAAAGCTGGACTCAGTTCGACTGTGGCTTGATTCCCTTCGATATTTTGCCAGGTGTCAATCAGCAATGAAATTGTATAACCAAAATGAAAAAAAAGAGAAAACTTCAAGAAAGACAGAAGACATTCTTTGGAATGATGGCTTACATGTACA